ACATTAGCTGACAACTTAGCAGTCCACCTTCTTGTTCAAATGTCGATTCTGACATGTGTAACCTGGCGTCAGCTGAAAGGTTAACGCTCAGCCTACACGTTCAATATCATTATTACTGTTAAATTACCTTTAATCTTACTACACTACAGTTTTTTGTTAGCATATTTTTGTTTTGTTTCCCTTTCTCTTTCCCATTTGGTTTTAATCAAGTATTTTGCAAGTACTCACAGTAAGCTTTGTGTTTCCCTTCTCCTTCATGGACTTCCACGTACTTGTCCTGGGCTGTTAGATATCTTTACTTATAATTCTTTTATATGACTTACAGGACATACTGCAGTATGTCAGCAAGAGCAGATAGAGTAGTAACAAACAGATGCTGTTGTAATGCACCAGCAGCAGAAGTTAGAAGAGTAATAGAAAGAGCAATAGCGGCTGCCTCAGTAGAAGTAACTGTGAATGCAGTGGTTGTTATTAGTACTAGCTTCAGTCATAGTACTGTATGGTTTGGTGACAGATGTTCTTACCAACATAGTTCTCCACATCACTGATGTAGAAGGTGGGGGCGGGCATGGACATGCCCAAACCGTCTTTCTTCTGAACCAGGATTGGTTCGTTGAAGCCGTTCTCCTCCAGGTAATCCATGGACAGCTGACTGCCACTGAGCTTCACCACTATGTCATCAGCACTAATAAGCACACACAGCCAGATAAGGAGAGAACATCTTTAATGTGCTCTGAGCTGAAGAAACAGAATCACATCTGAGCTCTATGTGAGCAGCATGTGACACTGTCTGAAAGCAGGTCTTTGAAATGTTACCAGGCAGTGCCCCCTAGTGGAGTTATTCAAACCCGGAACAACACACGCAATATTCCTTCATCAGTTTGAGCCATAAATATGATCACTTCAATTATAAAGAAAGCTTTACTTTCACCATTTTTTCTCATATTATTTAAGTCGAGCCACATATTTACAACACCACCTGAGCACATCTGCTGGTCTCAAACACATTAAAGCAACAAAGTCAATTTGTTCTTTATAATAAACTGTACCAGGTGATGGTCTTATGAAGCTGTGGTTAAAATAAACATGACACACACTGATTTGTTTACACTTTTCACATTGCAAAATCCCATGTGTGATGTTTTATAGGATGAATGCCTGGGTCAGTAGGGGTGTGGCCAGATACAGTCAAGCAATCAATTCAATTCTGTTTTATTTATGCAGCGCCAAATCACAACAGTCACCTCAAGGCACTTTATATTGTAAGGTAGACCCTACAATAATACATACAGAGAAAAACCCAACAATCATATGACCCCCTATTAGCAAGCACTTTGGTGACAGTGGGAAGGAAAAACTCCCTTTTAACAGGAAGAAACCTCCAACAGAACCAGGCTCATCTGGTTTTAAGTTTTCATTTTTTTCTTTTCATCTCTTAACGTCCACCAGTTGGTTTCACAGTTTCACTTCTAACCCTCCTTATGGAACTGTCTAGACCAGTGTTGGTCAAGTTACTTGAAAAAAGTAATCAGTAACTAATTACTGATTACTTCCCCAAAAAAGTAATCCCGTTACCTTACTGATTACTTATTTTCAAAAGTAATTAATTACTTAGTTACTTAGT